ATGTCATTGCCATGTCATGTACACTTTTACCGAATAAAATTATTATTATTATTATATACCAAGTCTAGTTGTGCATATTGTCCGTATTTTCCGGTTCAATGATTTTTGTCAGAGTAATGGCCCTTTAATAATTTTTATTTTTAAAGTTTGTCCGGACTACTTCTCTTATACCACTAATGCAATTTCAATGAAACTTTACAGGATTGATCTGTAGCTCAAGTCCTTGCGCATATTGCATGGATTTTCCGGTTGAATGATTTTTGGCCTAGTTATGGCCCTTTGATAAAAGATGTTTTTTTCTGTGTGTTGTCAGATACACAAAAGCTTGTCCGGACTACTCCTCATAAACTACTTGTGCAAATTCATCCAAACTTTACAGGAATGATCAGAAACAAGTCTCGTTGTGCATGTTTCAGCATTTTCCGGTTCAATGATTTTTGTCAGAGTTATGGTCCTTTAATATTTTTTATTTTTAAAGTTTGTCCGGACTACTTCTCTTATACCACTAATGCAATTTCAATGAAACTTTACAGGATTGATCTGTAGCTCAAGTCCTTGCGCATATTGCATGGATTTTCCGGTTGAATGATTTTTGGCCTAGTTATGGGCCTTTGATAAAAGATGTTTTTTTCTGTGTGTTGTCAGATACACAAAAGCTTGTCCGGACTACTCCTCATAAACTACTTGTGCAAATTCATCCAAACTTTACAGGAATGATCAGAAACAAGTCTCGTTGTGCATGTTTCAGCATTTTCCGGTTCAATGATTTTTGTCAGAGTTATGGTCCTTTAATATTTTTTATTTTTAAAGTTTGTCCGGACTACTTCTCTTATACCACTAATGCAATTTCAATGAAACTTTACAGGATTGATCTGTAGCTCAAATCCTTGCGCGTATTGCACGGGTTTTTTGATTGAATGATTTTTGGCCGAGTTATGGCCCTTTGATTAAAAGGTGTTTTTTTTCTGTGTGTTGCCAGATACACAAAAGCTTGTCCAGACTACTCCTCATAAACTACTGGTGCAATTTTATCCAAACTTTACAGGAATGATCAGTACCAAGTCTAGTTGTGTACTGTCCGTCTGTCTGTCCGTCTGTCACAAAACTTGTTCCAACACGAAATTGGCCATCATGAGGCGACACATGTGATCACTGATCGCTCTTGTATATCATAGAAAGTATAACTGAGTAGATCTATTAAAATATTTAATTTATGTTTCAGCTTCTTATATTTATAACTATTGGCTTATACATCGCTGTATAATAGTATAACAGCGGACAGTAACTGCAAACGTTTCCTATAAATCAGAGATGTAGTACGAATCTTTTCATATATAATGATTCATTTCAAAACGTATTGAGCAACGTGTACCTCGCTCACGCGCCATAGACCTAAAATGTTTTATGGTAAATAAAGTAAAGGCGAAGCATTTAAAATTATTTCAAAATCACCAGAGTATAGGTTATATATAACATGTTTACAATAGTAAAATATTAATTTCGCGTGTCACGTGCGAAAAAGTATGATATGAATCGATAACTTCCAATTACACCATCGCGGTACGCACACAATAGCTGCTGTTAATGATGAGCTTGGTCGTTGTCAGTTACATACTTCTAGATATCTTTATATAATGAGATATTTGAATGTAAAAGAATACTTAAACCTTATTGATTTTTTAATGGAACAGTATTTAGATTGTGTCAAAGAAAGCATATACAGAACTGCTTTAACTAGATTTCGAATTTCCACCCATAATTTATCTATAGAACATGGAACATATTGTAACAATCATGACGAGTTACGGCCCTTTAATACAGGAACGCCATTTGCACGTGAACAAACGTTGGCAATTACCACAGACACTTGGAGTATAGACCCCGCCCTTCTCCGCCCCTGAATATAAAAAAGTAAAAGTATTATCTATTACAAGAATAAGTTTTAAATTTTTGCTTATATTAGTATGAGACGGTTAAGTGTCTAACACGTGAACAAGTTTCAACCGAATTTCATAACGTTTTAAAAAAGTCATTTTTTTACCAACGCTTCAATTTCCTGAAGATACCAAGCTTCGAAATGTAAACACAACTGACCTACATATATTTCAGGTATTTATGTTATCGCATGCCATTTATTTCTGGTGTAAATCAGTCTATGCATATATTCCTTTAATAAATGAATGCATGTTATTTTCAGATCGTACCTTTCTTCCAAGCTTTGCGCTTTAAATTACATTTTCCTAACCGTGTCACATGCTTCTTTCCGAATTCATGACGACTGGAATGTTTCCCGTAAATTATGTGCGGGAAAATCGCTGGGAAAAAGAAATTCAATCGCAACTACTCGGCCCTTTCCGTCAGTCTTCTTGATTTGGTTTCTGTACTGATTAGGGGAAGTAACCGCTGCGGGGTTTTGGTTCTCGGCATGAAAATGAAAGCGCAAAACAGTGCCGAAACTCATTCCAGTCGTCTCACATCAAAGGAAAGCGTACGTTGTTATCTTCATGAAATTATGATATTTTAGGGACTTTTTTAAACGTTGTTAAAATAGCGGAAAACAAGTTTTATGTTCAAGACATGTGACCAGGTCGTAATAATATGCAAAAATATTTGGACGTACGGTTTGCACGATAAAAATACACAAGGTGTATACAAGTGCGGATCAAGGAGGGGAGCCACGCACATAACCCCAAGCGTCTGTGGCAATTACGTTTTATATAAAGTTATATTTTCAAGGTTAGTTTGCTATTATTCTGTTGTAAATTATTTTTAAAAGTTTTCCTTTGAGGTAATTTTAATGAAATGTATAAACAGCTTCTTCTATAATGTTTTGTTTGATATTATTCTTAATTCAGACTATATGATCTATATAACTTTATTAGCAGTTGCTCGTTTCTGTATAATTGTATTGTAAGTTGATTAGTCAATCATAAATAGCCGTAAGAGGGCGTTGTTGTGCAAAGCATATATAATCAGAGATTTTCAAGGTGAGTTTGAGTTTGTGTTGATGGAAGTCAGATTGTCAACATCTAATCTTGGAGCTTTGAAGTTATACCTGCTATATATTGTCTGCTATCCGTGTTCTCTAGGGCCCCGGAGGAATACAGGTTTTTATATAGTAGAAAGTAAACCGGGTTGCAAGATATTTGTTGGATAATTGTTTTGAGATATTAAAACAGAAGCATAGAAATTACGAGTATAATATAATAGATAGGCATCGAGACGGGTTATATTAAGAAGGCATAGAGAGTAGGATCGAGACTATGATTTGAGATTGTTAACAAATATATCCATATTGTGTATTGTTTATTTGATATTTGTTTAATTCAAGTTGATTAATTTATATTCCAATTATTATGAAATCATTGGTCTTCAAATCATTTAGGTTAGGACACCTAGAGGAAAATTATTTATGTATCATATTGAATACGAATGCATATTAGCTTGGTAAACGTTACAATATTATAACTATTCTAGAGACAACGAATGTGAAATTCATGCAATATGAAGCACGTAGAGGGTGAATATCACTTTCTCTTTGTATCTCCCCACTACAGAGAACTTCGAACAAAATAGTATAAACCATGCTACTGTCATTTGTCGATGATTGTATTTTGTCGTTAGATTCAAATAATGCTTAATGTACCCTAGCTAAATATAATTGTATTGGGCAATTATTCAGAAAACTGTATATTGCCAACTGTTATTTCTTTCACTGTGCATGTTTGACAGTATCATTCTTATTTGGCTATGATTGATATTGTAGTTATATTGGGCATAAATATTGCATTTATAATAATAATGATAACACTGGTCAACAATATGGAGAAACATTATTTAATTATCATAAAAATGCATTGTTTGGCGAAAGTGTTGACAGATCATAAAACTACAAAACATTTTATGATAATAATGATTCTCTATGTAGTTGGCCAATGTTATCATTTGTAAGATTATGAAAATACTAAACTGTTAACACTTTCGTCTTGTTCAAACAAGGCATTTCAATAATGTTATGCGCAAACAAACATGTTTCCTTAATAACATGAATCCTTTAATGATAGATTAATATATTTTACTATGCTTTCGTGTAGGTTCTATATTCAACTAGTACTAGTTCCCGGTGCCCGAAAATACGATCTTAACCGGTAATTTCCTGACTACACCAACGCGGCAATTCGGAACTGCCTCGGCTATTATCTATAATAAGCTCGGAAACAATACTGATTGAAAGTAGTTCTACCACGTAGTTTCAGATGTAAACAGAGATAATGTTAAACGATATACATGTATTTGACATCCAAAAGAAAAGTAATGTCTGTTTCAGTATTCTTATGATTGAATATATGTCTGACAACAAATTCGACTAAATGTCAACAGGTTGGTTTTTTGTACTTTCGGTTTCTACAACCATAATAATAAATATATAGATAATGTATTGTTTGCTGTTGCACCTATGAATTATATTATTTCAGGTGGACGTTTACTACATATATTGGAAATAAACTTGTCACCAACTCCCAACATTAAATTACTATTTGCTAACATGTTTAGTTTCTTAGCGTAGGTTTGACCGAAATACCGCATCTGTTCTGTGTATTCATACTTTCTTATCCGAAGACTGACGAAAGGGTCGAGTAGTTGCGATTGCAATGCGGCAAATACAAAATTTCGACTGTGAATTGTAAAAGAATTCTTAATTCAGTTTTAATCAGGGTTATAGACAAATGTCAAATTGGGACGAGTCATTTGACATGTTAAAATTTAAAACAAGTACCCTTTTTATACCAGAACCGTAAATTTCATCATCCTGCCCTGTATGTTGCTGTAAGTTCCTTTACGGCACGGTAAATGATCCTCTTAACAATTTATATGATTTATGTTCTTTAACGTGATATTTATTTGTAAACTGTTAGATAAAAAACGACCCGGCGAGCAGTCTTTTTCATTGGTTCATACATGCTTGTTTGAATGATTTATTTGTACTTTCCCTTATCTATGTCTTATTGTGCAGTTGATAATCGCACATGAACTTACGTCAATGGCGGTACAAGGATTGAGAGAAGGATCGCAAAATTAGTAAGCAGCTTTGTTCTACTAGCTTACTTATAATAATATGCATTGTTCATATAATAGTTATCAAATCTTTTTATTATTTCACTTTGTAAATTTCTTTGTTTCATTTATGCAGAATGATTTTCGTACAAAGATATATTGTAAGCTGATATCAGTTTTTAAAGTATGTTTTTAAGCAAATGACAATAGAAAAACTTATTTTAAAAATGAAAGTAAAGAATTTGATAACCTCCAAATATTTAATGTTGATGTATCGTACGAATATAATACGAATATAAAAATCCAAACGGTATTAGCACAAAAAGAATAATCTGTTTCTATTGCACGACAATGCATTTTAAACATGGTTTATCGTGTTCAGATTGACTTAAAGTTGGCAATAGATTTTAGGACCTTCATTACATTCCAAGATGGTGTGCTTCGGTTTAGAAATATAACATGTATAAAAACACTCGAATAGAGAAGAAATTTTAATGGAATTTTGCACAGTTTCAAGTTTTTAAATTAAATATTCTTATGATTATGAATATTTTCGTACGAAAAACCAAGAAAGAAATTATTATAACAACATACATGTGGATAAATATATAACTTTTTGATTTTAGACAATTTATTTTTTTCACAAAATTATAGCAAATTATCGATATGATCAGTATAATGGAAAAAGGGGAAAAATTCGGCTTAAACGAATTTTAAAATCTATTTACAGAATTGCATCAAATACGTTCTTAAATATCATATCTGTGATTTTCCCTGCTGTAATTCGTTGAGTTGTTTGTTTTATTGTCATATGCTCCAAACAAGCCAAAACTAGAAATCAAAATTTTGAAATATTTCGGTGCCGGTCGTTTTTTTAATTTACGCGTTTTAAAGTGAACCAGAATTTGATTAATAGCACCTTTTTTGCGGATTTTTAATGTCAGATGAAAAGTTTCCAATTAATAGTTCATATCTTTGACATTTACCTTTTTACTGTTTGGTTTCGCCTAAATGTTAATCTTCTAGTTGATTCACTTCAGCAGATCTTGAAATTTTTATATTTTATATTCTCAGAACTTTTAACAAAATATATCATACAAGAGACAGAGAAACAACAATACGTTCTGTATAGATTCAAAAATATTTTCATATTTAACATTTACAAATCTGATAAAGCTGATACCTATGCAAGTTTGCCACTTTCAATTCAGTTTTTCTCATCAGTTATTTTGCTTTCTTTACATGATCTGTAAAAAAATATTTCTAAAGGACAAAGTTTCAATGACTTTAAATGTTTATAGTACAGAGATCATACGAAGCTTGAAAGGCCATACTATTTCTCCACGCAATATTCTTTAACCGATATAAATTCTTTTTACCTTCTATCAAAATGGTCACCATATAACGGTCAAATCTGATCATCAGTAATTCATTGTACATTAAAATGAATAACATAGATACTGATGATAACATAATAAACCTTTCAATCATATTTAATGAAATATTTATCTACTTGAATTCAAAATTTTAACTCAATGAATTCACTATTTCAACTTCACGTATTCAACTTTTGAACTTCATGATTTCAACTTTCATATTTTACAAACGTCAAATCACAAAGTTGAAATTGTAAATTCACGAATACAAATCTGGAAATTAATGAAGTTAAAATTATCGTACTACAGCGTTAGTCTACTACGAAAGAATAATCCCATGTTTTTCCGACGCCGTCGGATTATTGTCATTGTTATTATGCGTATTAAGAATGAAAACTACATAAATAATTATATATATTCCAGTGAAATGTCATTGTTTATTTTATGCTTTTCAGTGGATTACTGATTTATCCGTGAAAATTATATTTGATAATTTCACAGTGAAAATTATCAAAATATAATTTCACTTTTTTCAATGACGAAACTACTTTTTTAAGATGTTCCCCATGTGGTACCTCAATTTTATTTTTACGGACAATTCTGACAATGTCAGGCTGTTAAAAGAAATAGCAAAGCTGAAATAGATAAATAACTTAAATGTCAAAAGTAACACAGAGAGAAAACTTACTTCTATTCCTTCAAATTCCAATCACCAAATTTCGTCTCTAAATGTTTTTTGTTTCGTTTTTACAGTCTGAAAAATACATTCCTTCCCCATGCAAAACGGGCTCTTGATGACATTTGGGCATATTAAAGTATCCTTCGAGCAATAACTGCCGTATGCTTTATGAAAAATTGAAAAGCATTGACAGCCATCACTTGTAAAATAAGTAAAACAACCCAGCGTTCCTTCAGCAAGCTTCCAAGTTTTCCATTTTCCTAGCTCCTTTTCTGAATGTTTTCACTTCTGTCAACACTTATTTCTTGTCTGTTACAATCCTCAAATAAGTTTTCTTTCTTTTAAAAAGGTGTATGACTAACAAATCCAAATTATATCCTTCTGAATCTTACACAATTATTTTCCTCCCATGAAATACACAACTTTAAAAAATGGCTGCCGTTTACATTTTAGAAAGCCAGGTCTAATATAAATTCGCAGTAAGTAACAGAAATATGGATGGATGGTTGGAATTTTCTCCTGCAAGAATTGTTTGTTTTTATTATTAAAACAAGCGATCATTCATATTTTTTAATAAAATGAATAATTATCACCGTCATTTAACCTTGATTGGCGGACTTCTTTTTCAGCTCAAGACTTCTTGTTTTAAATGAGAAATTCTGTCTAAATGGGGCTCTCAATGGGGGAAACAGATTTTAATATTAACGTTAAAATTATGGAAATTTCGTTTTAACTTGTTTTTAAGCATAAAATAAAAAGAAAATTTGTCTGTTTGTTGTGTAAGATGTAATTTTATTTCATCTCGTGAACTTTAAAAACAGTATTCTCACTCGTGGCTACGCCACTCGTGAGAATACTGTTTTTAAAGCTCACTCGATGAAATAAAATTTCATCTTACACACAAACAAACAAATATCCTCTATATATTCTTTTTATTCTTTATAAGCTTTATGAATGTGTAAAATGTCCAGACTTAGCAGATATTTTCATATCTTTGGATACATTTTGTGATGGTTCCGAAATATAATAATCAAAGATATACATATATGGCTTTGATTTAATAGCTAAATCTAAAATTAAGGAGGTTCCCTGGAAGGGTGATTAACCAAAGAACTTTATCGATATACCTGTATTTTAATTCAATATCCAAATTATTAAATATATATAAGGACACTTATTTTGTACTCATTTTATTAAAAAATAGATAAACAATTTACACGACATTTGATAAGATAAGTATAAAAATGAAATCAGGTTTACCTCCACCGAAAAGTAATATTTAACACAGTTAATAACAGGTATGTCCACTATGCGCAATAAAAACAGCTGTGCGTCTTCTGCTCATTGTCAGTAAAAAACCGCTGATCTAAAGCAGCCAATTCACATTGCAGAAAAAATCCTCTTGACTGCTGTAGACATTTCTCTAATGGAGTTTTAGTTTCATATCTGCCCACACGTGTTCTATTGGCTTCGTTATGGGCAAATTGGAAGCCATTGATCAATAACGTTCATGTTGTTTGCACGAGGACATCTTGTGTTACCCTTGCTGTATGATGACGTGCATTTTCCTCTTGTTACACAAGTCCAGGATTCTACAACACGAAAGGAACAAACAACAGAACATAAAATGTCATAAATGTAACGCTTGGCTGTTATGCCACGACGTCTAGCTCAGGCGTTATTGTTATCCAAGAAAAGAAAACAACGGTGTGTTACTTTGATACGTAAAGCCAGTCCACACAATTGTACTGGCTGCACCAAAACGATCTTTCTTCTTTTCACAGGCGTCCGCAAACCTTTCATTATGTCGTCGATAAAGTAATGACGTCGGTTGTTAAAGTCGACATAATATTTGCATTAGTCCTTGAAATAGACGTTAGGGCAGCATTGTAGCGCCACAGTAGGAACGTTTGACGTAATTCTAACTTCACGTAGACGGTTCCAAATCATAGGTGCGCTCACATGAGAAGGGGTCTAACCTTGTGTGTTTCTGGCAGTGTTAACAGGAACTTCAATGCATCTGCGTAGATGGGCTAGTATTATCTGCCTGTTATGTTGACACGTAGTCTCACGTGGACGTCCATATCGCCGGTGGTCTTAAACTGTTCCGGTAAAAAGCAGTAGTTGTTGTCTAAGACGACGAATGGTTTGTCCATGAGTGCCGAAATTCCTTGCAACTTGCGCTGCAGTAACCGCACATTGTAACTGACCTATAGCGCGCATCCGCTATTATTTGAGAGTTTAATTGTGACGTTGACGTCAAATCAAAATAATTGTTTGCACTGGCGAATAACGGTTCGGGCGTTGTCAATACAAAAGATATAACGAACCGTTTATTTAACAACTTACATAAACATGCAGCATAGTGCACTTGAAATGTGTGCTCACGTAGACTTATATACCGGGATAATTGCGTTTAACTGTATTTAGGAATGATTATTTTAATTGAGTTTGCGAATGAGACCGGTCTTAGAGAAATCCCTCGAATGGCATTGAAAAAGTTGTAGCACATTAGACAAAAAACAGAATTTTTGGTCTCAAGTGTATATTTTTTAAAGTTAAGAAAGAATCAATTATTCTATTGTAAGACTTACTTTATGAGTGATTTTAAAGTTAAAATGTGTCACCATTCGTTTTAAAAATATATTTTCTGAGCTTATATAGCCCGTTTACTTATAACTAGATATTTCTAGAACAGATCAAAGGTATTTAAGTCACATCAGTTATGTTGAGAAGTTGTTGCTTAACACCTAAACTTAAAAATTAATTTAAGAAAAATTCGATTTATCGACCGTATTTTTAACAGAAAAAGCAACAGACCGGCCAATATTTATTCGGAATATATGACATCATATTCACAAGCTGAAAGTCACTATATGGGTGTCAGCCAAAATACTAAGCAGTTCAGTGTTAAGCATTCCACATTTTATAAAACATTAGGGGTCTCCATGGCCGTTTGGTTTAGTATG